AAATGAGTCTGTAATCAAGGAACACAGCGGTAATTTGGAATTCGAAAGGGGTCTATTCACTCAACCGTAACTGCTCTACTGGAGGCTACCGATAACTGCGGGTCACTGAATATTGATCGCGGTAATATTAATGCAGTCGTGTTCTTAGACTTAAAAAAGGCCTTTGATACAGTAGACCATAATATACTATTATCATAATTAGAGCTAGTACCATAGCATTACTGGCCACTCCCATTGGTTTGGTTTAATTCATATCTTAATAACAGAACACAAACATGTACATTGAATAATTACACATTGTCTAAGGCATTGGTCAGGTGCGGAGTACCTCAAGGAACAGTTTTAGGACCCCTTTTGTTCTTATTATACACCAATGACTTACGTAAATGTCTGACTTATTCTCAGCCGCGAATGTATGCTGACGATACAAGCATAACATTTGCTAGCAATGATATTAGTCAAATTAATGAATGCGTAAGTTCAGATCTATGTRATATTCATAATTGGCTCTCTGCTAATACATTAACTCTTAATATATGGCTAAAACGGTGTTTTTATTAATTGGCTCGAATCAAAGGCTATCTATAACATCAAGGTAAATCCACAAATTCTTATAGAAGGGGAGAAAGTTAGACAGGTTTTCTCCTCTAAGTCACTTGGTTTTCAGATAGATCAAAATCTTTCTTGGGAGAACCATATATCTATGATATCTAAAAAAAAAAAAAAATGCCTCTGGAATAAGCGCAATGAAACGCATAAGGTACTTCGTTCCACGTGAAATACTCCTAACCGTGTACAATGCCTTGGTACAACCCCATTTTAATCATTGCAGCATAGATTGTAGATAGATCAAATACAAGACAAAACTTTAGCTTTGTTACTCCGAGTTTCACGCTTACGCGATTAAAGTAAAATAAAGAATTTTTGTCATATTGTGTTATGTTCAAGAAAAAAAAAAGGCTAAAAGATAACCATAACTATACTACATTGTAACAGGTGCCATAGCAACTGTCAATAAAGTTTGATGATACAAAAGACATATGTATATATGTATACGTAAATGTTAAAACTGCAGAATTTTGATCTTACTTGGGTTCCCTGGGTGTAAACACGTTCCACGTTACTGGCTTATAAAAATAAAAAAAATTCATATTTGACTTCTCGTTCGTTTCGTTACATTCTTTGTTTATTTGCCATTCAAGGTTGAGGAAAAACTGGGTCGAGTGGGTAGTCGAGTGGGTATTGCAGTGCATTGTGGGACTGTTTTAGGGGTCATAATGGACGCCATATTGAAACGAAAATAATAATAATAATAACTCGATTAAAGTCTAGAAATTCTTCTAGCCGGGTACGAGCGCCCTATTAATCGGGGAGACAAATTAAAAAAGAGAAAAGTTAAAAAAAGTCATAAAAATAAAAATAAAAATCTTATTTAACATATCTGTCATTACGTTACATTCTTTGTTTATTTGCATTCCGAAGTTCAGAAAAGACTGGTTCGAGTTGGTATTGCAGTTCATTGTTGGACTTTTTTTAGGGTCAAAATAGACGCCAAATTGAAAACAAACCTTTAAAAAAAGTTCTTATTTAACCTATCATTCATTACGTTACATTCATTCCGAGGTTGAGAAAAGACTGGGTAAGGTGGGCATTGCAATGCATTGTGGGACTGTTTTAGGGGTCATAATAGACGCCATATTGAAAAGAAACGTTAAAAATGTTCTTATTTAAACCTATCGTTCATTACTTTTTATTCTTTTTTTTTTTTGCCAATTCGAGGTTGAGAAAAAACTGGCTCGAGTTGGTATCGCAGTTCATTGTGGGACTGTTTTAGGGACCAAAATAGACGCCATCAACTCGACCAGTGTTTTCCTTGACCTCGAAATGGTTAATATTAAACTATGCATGTGATCACGAGGATATCACGTGATCACAGTGGGAGCGTCTCGTCCTGTAACCCTTTGAAGATCAGAAATGTTCAGAGCAATCTTGACAAGAGGTTGAAGAACGATCTGAAAGTGAGAACCAAAGATATCATATCAGCACACCCCAATTCCCCTCGCGTCATCTATTTAAGGAACCATTCATTTCTTACGGGCATAAGGGTGGGGAGGGGAGGGGAGGGGTGGAATTTTGTGAATTGTAAGTAAAAAAATATATGACCCTATCCCAACCTGAAATTTTTGTATGTGCCCCTGAATTTAATGCATCCTTTATTTTAGACCACTTCTTTAGACGTCTTGGGAATTTTATCCCTTTGCTTGGCCAATCTATATTCAATTCTTTCATTTTGGTTTAACACATTTTTGAAAAGAGATAAAGACGGAACTTTTCCTTTCTCTCTTGCTTTATAGAGATAAAATCTTGTACATCATTAGAACATGATTGATAGTACAATCGTCAACACCAAGAATAATATAGAAACGATTGCAGACAGGAAGATAAATGCCAAATTTTTCTAAGCAACTCCTTATTTTATTTATGTGCCCCTCTATTAAAACAAGATAATTTAAAAAACTATATTGTCTATTTAGCCTAGTATTTTGGGTTGGGATGTCCCCATCCAATCCTATATTTCTCATGTGCCATCGCTTACGTCCCATCAGCTTACCCTTCCCCCCACCCCCGCTGCAACTAAAAAATAAAAAATCCCTAATAAAAAATACGATTTTTTGTGACGTGACACACCAACGTTACCTGCGCATCCAGTGAGTGTTTAGTCACGTCTGATTCATAACTCTCTATGTACACCCGTACCGTGGCACCAACGCTTCCAGTCCCACTTAACCGATAAATGATACGCGAACCATCCGAGAATATGACTCGGATCCCCTTAAAAAAAGAACAAATAATTAGCCAATGAAACGTTAGTATCCAAGGCAGCTCTTGCACTAATAGGTCATCCTTCCTTCCTTAAAACGAGAAGTTTTGTAAAAAAAAAAAAAAAAAAAAAAAAAAAAAAAAAAAAAAAAAAAAAAAAAAAAAAAAAAAGAAATGATACTTAAACATTAAACATTAGCCTCTGACTTCTTGATCTAAATGTCAAACATCCAACCTGTTTTTGGCTGAGGCTTCCATCTATAGGATCAGTGTAGGAGAAATCATCCATAGCTTGGACTGCGTAGGACTTCTTATGGTCACCCTGTCCTTCTGTAAACGTCTTTCCAATCAGCGATCCTTCGCTGGCTTGCTTACGAAGATCGTCCATCATCTTACTGGCTGGGGGCGCTTCGACGTTTTCATAATCGTATCTGTGCAGTTAAATAAAACTTTAGAGCGGTTTTCGTATGATTAGGGAACATACTATCGCTTCCCCTAAGACTGACTTAAAGTACGTATACACGGTACGACATGCCGTAACATCAAAATGGAGCAGGCGTAGCTTAGGTTGGTTAGTGCGCGACCTTCAGAGCTTGAGGTCCACGGTTAGATCCTTAGGATCTCCACGTCTGTTTCGACTTCTCTCTAATCCGTGTAGCTTCAGCTTTGAATCGTCTTAAAAAAGAGCACTGATGGAGAGAGGGGGTAAAATGCGCACCGTCGGCTTCCATTGATAGCAGTTGAATTTCAACTGAAGGAACTACAGACGTTAAATATAGGTACTTTACTTTAAAATGGTTACCCCTAAGTATGGTTATCGCATGAGTGGGAAACATACGGTACTGACTTAAAGTACGTACACGGTACGACATGCCGTAACATGCCCTGATTTAGATCAGCCCAGAGGTTAAGGTTGTTTCAGGGCATGATCTGTGAGTTGGCCGTGCCCTGACTTAAATAAGCGCAGACATTGTTTCTGAGAGTTTGATCTGTGAGTTAGCCATGCTCTGCCTTAGATCACTGAGCTCAGAAGGTGTTTCAGGATTCGTTATAACTAAAATTGAAAGTTTTTAAACGGAAAAACTAAATTTAGGAACTCCGGAGGCATATAGCATACCTTGTGAAGAAATTTCTGCCATATTTCGTCCAAAAATCCTTCAAGACTTCAGCTACAGACATCTCACGAGATGCCAAGATAGACAGCCATGCTAAAACAACAAGGAAAATAAGGCCGATAGAAAAAATACTACTTTATATAATATAATTATCCATAAAATACCTATATTTTTTCTTTTCGAAAAACTGATATTTTCACATGTGAATATAACATGTTATTTTCACATGTGAAAATATCGTTACCATGTGTATTTAAGCTATTGGTTTATAAATAAAAACTTTTTATAATAATAAAAAACTTATTAAGTTGATTTTATGGATAATTATATAATAAACAGAATATTACATGGGCGCCCATGTAATATCCTCTATATAAAGGACCGACGGCATGAAACGACAAAGTAAACCCAAAACCAATATCGATCTATGGATCTTAAAAAGCGAGTCAATTTGACATAAGATTTATGTAAAGTTATATTTTGAAAAACGAATGAAGCAATTTTGAGAGTTTAATACCGAGGAGCAGATTGATTTGACTTATTATTTATTTATTATTTCTTATTAGAGCATTTTACTGCAATTCTCAATATTCTGTGAACTCAGACATCTCAATGGCTTGTTGTGAAATCTGWTTTTTGCCGTCAATCAAAATTTATCAGTCGATACCTGTTATATTTTTGACTGGTTGCAGTGAAAAACCAAATTCCATCGGGAAACTCGCAATCAGGGGCGGATCCAGGATTTTGTTCAGAGAGGGGTGATGCGCACAAAGTTAACCCAGGGATGGGTTCACCCTTAGAATCAAAGGGAAAAAAACAGTATTGGTTATCTTCGAAGTAGGGGCATAAAGTGGAACCAGGGAGGGGTGCGCACCCCCTGCACCCCTCCCCTGGATCCGCCCCTGGCAATAATCTCCTCCACAGTTCCCTGCGCCATCTTGAAAGGTAGCCGTGCCTTTACATCGAAGCAAGACGAACGGTGAGCTTGCAATGATAGAGACCTGTTTTTAACACCTTGGACGATTACTCACATGTCTATATCATTGCAAGCTCACAGTTCGCCTCACTTCGATTAAAAGGCACGGCTACCTTTCAAGAAGGCGCCGTCCACACGTATCCGGAAATTTCTGTATCCGCAAATTTTTTTTTTTTTTGTCGGATGCGAAAATGTTCGCGTCCACACGCAGCGTATTCGAATCGTTTTCACTGTCCACACGTATCCGGAAATTTCTTGATCCGCCCTGATGCACGCTAGTGCCTAGTCCTTTTGACATATAGTTTTTCTTATTGAGCATGCGCAAAATCGTGTTTACGTCACCGTATTCAAAAAATTTGCGGATACGACCGTCAACACGAATTTCCACTCTGGAGACCGTTTTCGAAAATTTCCGGATACGGATACAAAAATTTCCGGACACGTGTGGACGCAACCCGCAAATTTGCGGATACAAAAATTTCCGGATACGTGTGGACGGGGCCTGAGTTCGCAGAATATTGACAATGGCAGTAAGTGAAGAAGTGTTTAAAATGGCTGTAACTTCGCAACGGATTTTGTTGATTTACCTAAAAAAGCCCATATTCCATCCTTTTCTCGGATATGATCCGAACCAGTTCCAAAACTCTCTTCTCCACAAAGACTGAGACGATTAGCATCCATTAGGTTACCAAAGAACTTCCAACCTATGGAGAAAAAGATTTGTTTGTCGAAAGGAGGCAAATTATTTGACAGGTTTTCTTCCATGAACCTCAAAATGTTGAATCCCAATAGGCCACTTGCATTATAGCGTCATTTACTACAAGTACCAGAATCCCTTGCACACTTTCCTTTTGTTCAGTTAATTAGCACCAACTGTCTTACTATTCTCATGAGGAAATAGAAATTTCAATAAGACAAAAGAAATTCGCGAAGCATTTTAGCAGTGGGAGTGAAATGACTCCATCATGCAAACGGCCTTTTCGATCTGTGAGTTAGGCGTGCCCTGGCTTAATTAAATCAGTCCATCTGGAGGTTTTTTCAGGGTTTTAGAATTGTTTCCATAAAAATGAGGGTATTTTCGTATGAAATTTCGTATATATTACCCGTAGGTGTTTCGAAGCATTCCACACCGTTCTTCTTGGCAACTCTGTCGATAGCAGCACTGGTCGGCATGCTTCGAGCAAAGCCTTTTACACCAGTTTTGATGAAGTAAGGAATACATTGGAAGTTTTCGGCGATGACGGCTACAGAGTCTGATGGAGTGACGAAGAATCCATTTTGGCCAATGATCATGTTGCGATCCTTTGTGAGGATAAAAAGTGATGACAAAAAAGGTCAGGAATGAATGTTAATGCTGAGAAGAATGAAAGTAGTAGATAAAGAGAACAAGACAAAAGAAAGGCAGGCAGGCAAGCATCTGTRTTTCCCACTGATTTAGTTATTCATGTACTGTCTTAGTGTTAACTATGCTTACCCCATCTCCGTCGAATGCTGCACCAAGACCATGGATGCCCTTCTTCATTTCTTCAACAAGGTCAGGTGCGTATGTGAGATTTGGATCTGGATGCAAACCTGCAATAAGGAAAGGTTACATGTATGAAAATCACTATCACTATCTCCAACAACCATCACTAATATCATCATAACAACCACTACCACTACCACTGCCACTACCACTGCCACTGCCACTGCCACTATCGCTACCGCTACCACTACAACTGCAAACATCATGGTTATCGACAACAACACCAATGAATATAATTATAAATGTGCTACATTAATATATCCACCACCATATTCTCCTCCACTATAAATATATAACCATTACCACCGAGACCATCATCTTAACCCCCCCCCCCCATCATCATCGTTATCATCACCATCACCATCATCTCCACCATCACCATCATTGTCACCGTCACCATCAATCATCATCATCACCATCATCATCATCTCCACCATCATCACCATCATCAACACCATCGTCGTAACCACAAGCCATTATATAACATACTAAGTAAGACAGATCAGCACCTGCCTTTAACTATTCTTAAATATGAAATCTAAGAAAAACCAAATATCCTAACCTCCAAAGTCTTCTAAAGGTGCACATCTGACGACATAGGATTCTGGTGCTCCAAGTTCTCCACATATGATTCTCTTAGCATAAGGACCAGTAACTGAAACAATGACAAATAATTTAGCAAATTATATACCATCAATAGTTATATGAGGGCAGTGTTTTCCAAGCAAAGTAGCGATGCTTTGAATTTTGCTTGGAGGCATTCAACCATTCATGGTTCTAACTTCTCTATAATTACCATTGCTATCACAACAAGTTTAACAAATAAGCTAGAATATTTCAGGATAAAAACTCTTATTCCTGAAAACTGACTATGTAATATTTCAAAGCTGACAATGAGGACTGGATGGGATTTCAAGTCCAAGCAATTAGTTCGAGTCTGAGGCGAAGCCAGAGACTGGAACTAATTGCGTGGACATGAAATCCCATCCAGTCCGTTATTGGAGGCTTCGAAATGACTTCTCATGCTCATTATTATTCGACTTGGAGTAACTGGAACAAAATTAACTCAGTCCTAGGACTGAATTAATTTTGTTCCAGTTACTACAGACTGAATTCAGTCCTTTCACATGACTTTACCAGGTTTCAAGTAACATCATGTGGCCCAAAAATAGCCCATTGATTGGCTGGTTTCCTCATGGAATATTTATGAGTATGAGAAAAACTGTTTCAATTATTCACGGAAATAAAATACAATTGCTTCACAATCTTTGTAGTACTAAACTTGCTTTATACAGTTAATCCCTGGGGGCTAATCTTCTCCATTTTTGGTAGGGATGTGCCGCTAAGCCCTCTCAACCCTGACCCTGGTGCTTGCAAAAATAGATACCCTGTTCCAGAGAGCAAGCAGAATTTCATATATCCGGTTCCAGAAAGAGAGCTGATGTAACCTTTTCCAGAGTAAAATCGCTAAACATCCCCCCCCCCCCCCACTGCAGTAATCTTCGTAGTGACAGATATTTTGTGGTTGCTTGTGAGACAATATTTCAATACAACTGGAAAAACTGCTGCAATGGTGAACCATGAATAAATTTCTTCTACAGCCTTTCTCAAACTCTCACACTCATTAATAATTCGTGAGGACAAGACCAAGAAAATGTGGGGAAGGAGGTTTGGAAATGTGTTTTATTTAGCATAAAATTTGTGCAACATATGCTTTGAATTTCTCCAATAAATATTACTAGTTTGATAAGCCATATCCATCTTGTCTCTTATTTCTCAATGTTTGGAAATCAGATTCTTCATGTGTTCAATATATATATATATACACTCGATTGCAGAAACGTAGTATACATTTATACAAATATCTAAGTTATTCAGTATATTTAATGATATGCAAAACAGAAAAATCGCTTTATTTATTGTTTGTTTTATTCACTGACTGTCAAAATATTTTTTTCTTGTCTGTTTGATCATACAGATTATAAATCAGTTGGTTTTAAGCATTGAAAATGGTTATTTTGTATTATGCATCTCATTAGATATTTGTATAAATGTATAAATGTATACTACAACGTTTCTGCAATCGAGTGTATATATATATATAAAGTGTTTGATACATTGCATAAAATGTCTGGATCTACTATTTACCTCCATTCATTGAATCCAAAAGAAGCTTCATCCCTGCTTGCTCACCAGACCCACTTAAGAAAGCCTTCAGAAGCGGAAAGTCAAATATCTCTTTCATCAAGTCAACATAGTCTTCTACAGAGTCCTTAATAGTAACAGTAAATTTATGTCCATCGATATTCCAGCTCTGAGAGCTCAAAATTCCCAAGTCTACTGATACATCAGGACAGATCTTGTACTCAGATATTGACTTGGTCAACTCAAAGATCTTGTTTGTTACTCCTTCAGGTGCTGGACCTGTAGAGCATTAGGAAAAGCAAATACATACTTTATCACTTCATCCCTTTACAGGGCTTTKCAAAAGCAATGATGATAACTAAAAATTACAATATGAAATAAAAGTTAAATATAAATGCAAATATAAGCATAAATCTAAGATAAAATATACTATATATTTACACCTGCCTTCAAAACGGCCCCTGAATAGGAACACATGTATATAAACACATGTCCCTCGGCAGCACCTTTAATTTGGTAACAAGGTACTGACTATACATAAAAGCATTACGTGCTCATGCATGCAAATCTCAAAATACTATTTTCATAGTTGCATACATACACCTAAGTCCAAAATGGTGCACGGCCGAGTGAGTTACAGTAAATGAAATTAATGTGTCCCGGCCCAAATGCAAAAAAATAAATATATGGTGTCAATGCAAAGTATTAACACTTGCCTTTCCTTCCTTCTTTCTTTCAGGAACAAACCAATTTTGTGACATCAAATTATAAGAAAATACTGTAAATTCGTAAATTTGGCCTTGGATTTTATTTTTTAATGTTTTGCTAGTCATGTTGCTTTTTCTTTTCTTTATTGTTATTATTATTATTATTATTATTATTATTATTATTATCATTATTATTATTTACCTACCTCCTCCTTTTACATTTTTTTAAACAAACAAACACAACTTGGCCTTGGTCGCCTTTGGACCACGCCATGCGTCATTTTGGACTTAGGAGTACTTTTGAACAGATAAAAACAACTAAATTGTCCTAATTTTTGAAAGTAGCACTTACAAACTTATGGCTCTCTTTCTATTACCAGGGGAGAAAAAAACACAAATCCCAGAAAATAATTCTCATTTTGCAGTTTTGTATTTCTCCAAATTACCTTGTCACCAACTAAAACAAACTGCTTTTTACAAGACAAATAACAATATTACAAGATGACTAAACAAATTATTGTTTAACTTGAAGTATGTTTTATATAATGGGCCAGTTACTATGTCAGCTTTATCAGATTGTTTGAACATTCACCTCCATTGCTGATATTGTACTTGATACCAAAGTCTCCATTTGGACCACCTGGGTTGTGGCTTGCTGTTAGAATAATGCCTCCTGAAAATGATCAATGAAAATAATGAATGGATGAATAAATGGAATGATGGATGGGAGGGAGGAATGGATGGATGGATGG